ACAGCATGATTTGTTCATGGCAACAAGATACTGCACTTTAATAACTTATGAACACCCTGGTTTAAAATATTTTACGAACGTAACCTGTGAACTGTGTCCTTATCTACTTTATGTTCATAAAACTTTTAAACAAAAGGTAACTTATATAAAAGCTTATAAATTTACGTAGTATGCACTATTAGTGTCTGGATCTTAAGACCTCAGGACAAAATTAAAATGCAGTGCATTAAAGAGATTTTATGTAATTTTTAATTTTAGATTCTGAGTATGAATTTGTTGGTATGGGCAATCGGCATATCCCAACAAAATATATTGTACTTGGGACATGTGATCATCCTGGTAAGAGATCTTGTTTGGAGATACATTCTTGATACTCTTAATACAAAATGTGCTGTGATAAACAATATAGCCTATCTAACAAGCAATTGATTACATTAAGAGATAGCCTGCAAACAGGCTCTCAAGGTGAATTGAGAGCCTGCATCGATAACTAATGAATTTGAATATCTGCCCCGTAACGTTCGTTTTTCCAAATATGGAATGTCTATCCTTAAATGGTGTTGTTTACAACTTTCGTGCAAACTAAATTTAGACCGTGCAAACTAAATTTAGACCGTACAGTTTATTCTGTTTTTCGAAATATAAGATATTCAAGGAAAAGAGCTGTTTGTTAAATACTGTTTTCTCAAAACAGAACATTTCATGCTTTGAGATAAGATGGCCAAGACCAATTTAATCAGTTAATGTGTTTTTATGCATATTGCTTCAGCAGTTGACATATATAGAGGTCAGCGGAAACATATATATTATAGCATCTGACCAATGAGAATTTCGCGTCACGATTTGAGACGCAGATATTCAAATTCATTAGTCATCGAAGCAGGCTCTCAATTCAGCTTGAGAGTCTGTTCGCAGGCTAATTAAAAGAAGAAGTTCGAGATAGAATGCTGTATCTATCTTCCCAGATTTTGATTCATTTCATTATTTTTTCCCTTGCTACTTTGCAGGTTCACCTCATCAAACACCAATCATAGCATCCAAATAATCCTTTAGACACCTTGCTGGGATTGACGTTCTGACCCTTGATGCAGAAAAAAATGAAATGGCCTTTGTGTGTAATAAAGGCCACTCCTGCATTCGCACAATAAAAGGGGTTCATTCCTTCCAAGCTGTCAAGTTTGTTGGAACACTGAAAACACACCCTCTTCCTGTGAACTGGAAACCTGAAGGTTTGACTGTTGTCTCAAAAAACACCCTGGAAATCTCAAAAGGAAACACAATTCATTTGGTATGTATGGATTGTACATTCACTGGCGGTCAACTTGTGTCTGTATTGGATAACCTGGAGTCACCACGTGCACTTTTCATTTCTGATACTGGTACACCAGAAACTCTTTTAGTAGCAGATGGAAAAACCATCAAAGCAATCAATTTAAATACCAAAACAGTTGAAGTTGCAGCTAGAGGTTTCAAGCAAGCCTTTGATGTTGCTTAGTCTACCAGTGGATGCCTAGGAGTCACAGATGTCCAAGCACACAAGGTTTTCACCCTCCAGAAAGAAGCAGATGGAAAGTACAAAGTTCAGAGTACCATAGGAACTGGAAATGCAGGTTGCTCTGATGGTCCAGCCTCCAAGGCACAGCTTTCTGAACCTACTGGGCTAAGCTTTGACTTTGATTCAGTTATTTTTTGGTGTTTTGGTGGTAGCAAGAATGGCTACATTAAATTGTACAGTGCTGTTGACTTTGCCTGTAGGTTCATGGATGCCATCCGACAAATATATCACGCTATTGGATTTCTGCCAAAAAAAGAACAAAATTATTTAGCAAAAGTAGGAACAAATCCAGCAGCACTTTTGTGGAAGGCACTGACCAACTTGCTGCCTCCCTTACTTACCTGGAGAGTCTGACAGTTGAGCGAAAAAATATCTTAAGGCAGCCCCTGCTGGCCCAGAGGGTAATGTGTATCATGTTACTGTCCAGGGTGTAGCAGAATCAGTCAAATCTCTGCAGGGCCATATTCAGTCATTTAAGCGGCTGGGAATGCAGGACATTTTAGCTCATCTTAATCTGTATGCATTTGTTAATGAAGCTCGGAAAGAGCACGGATTTGCTAAACGCAAACTGAAAGGGCAGTACAGGCACCCTACTCTGCAGCAGTATGTTCACAGTAAAGGCAGCCATGAGATAGAACAAATTTTAAAAATCTGCAACTGCCCCCATGATTACCATACTAACAATTATAGTGCCTACCAACCAACTCATCAATCAAGTTTGTCCTCTGTGAAAACTATTGCCCAATACAGGAAATGCACAACTTTATTTTCCAGCTTTTCAAGATCTAATGAAAGAACTTCAGGTCCAAAGAGGAGAAAACCCTCTGTTGCCTTCAGAAATTGATCGCGTCCAAGCAGGGGACTATCTCTTTTTAGCAGGAGATATTGTTGCAATTAATCCTGGGACAGAGGATAAGTGGTGGCTGGTTCAAGTCAACAAACCACATCACTCGAGCAAGTATAGGTCTGGATGTCATGTGTTTGGGTTTTGGCTTGCTGAGGAGGATACTATTGATATGTCTGTGTCAGGAAAAGATTATTCATTGTTGACACAGTCCGTGAAAACCTATTTTGGTACAATTATCAAAGATAACAATAATGTTCCATTGGTGATTCCTGTGGACGAATTGAAATCTGGTTGGCAGAATGGGCAGGTTGTCTATGCTTTTACAGAAGAGTACTGTCGTACGCTGGATTTTATATCGGACTCGTTGAGAAAAGGTCGGCATGCAGCTGATAATAATGAAGAGGATGGTGCATCTGATCTGGAAGCCGATGAGGATGATGGACAACCACCAGACATCCATGAGGTGGAACTCATGGCAATGCAACGAAGAAGGAGAGTAGTTCGTGATGTGGAGGGACAGATTTTTAGTTCTTACAGGGATCTTTGAATCCACGTCAAGCTGGAGGAAGATGACAACGGCGTGTTGAGAATTTGGGCAATGCAAGTACAGAATTTGAAGCCGAAAGGAATAATTATGAATTTGAGCAGCCAGAAGGCAGAAGCTGAATTTGAACCTATGCTAGGCACTGTATTTGGTTAAGATGACCTGATATGAAAAATTAGTTCAGTTTGCCTCGATTTTAGTTCCTTGCATCGTATTTGTTACTTGAAAAATTCTACAAACTGTAAGTTAAGACTCCCTGCAAAATCTTCATATTTTATATTATTAAAATAATTAGTAGCATTAGAAAGTTAGAAACCCAATCTCTTATCCCATAACACCGGAAGATAATAAATCTTTATGGTCAACGCCGCGGCTAGAGCGTTAATTGGTGGGTGGATATTCATATATTCGGGTTATACCCGACAAATTTCTTTTGAAATAAGTTGTTTTTAAGTTATTTTCAAAAGAAATTAGTCGAGCAGAACACGAATATATGAATATACACCCCCCCCCCAAATTCGCGCTCTACCTATACGGCCCTGACTGCCTTGTTTATGGTAATAAAGAACGATGAAGAAACTAAATAAGAAACAGTTATTTAAATAGTTTTTAAATAATACTAAGGGATTCACCGAAGGGTAAATGCCAAAGAATGTAGATTTTTAACTTTACTAAAATAGACCTACCGTTTGATATTCGCTTTTGAATTTGATGTAATGTTTGCTTTTGTATTGCGAACAATATGGGCATATGGCTACGAAAAAACTCGTAATTATAATACTAATTAAGTATTGCCAAATACCGCATGCCAAATACCGCGGCTTCGCCATAGATCGACTTTAAGTTATGCGACATAAAGTATTAGAGGTTTAAATGTTTCAATATGGCGGCCGAACCCAAGCTGCCGAACACATTCTGCAACAGGTTCTACATTTAGTCACTAGTATCAAACATACTAAACACTGGAATAGTTTTAATCAAGCTTGTTGTCGTGGTATTCACATCAAAGTTGAAAATCTCGCGACGCTGGGACAGTTCGATGTACAGCAGTAAGTGCAATTTTTAAAATACTGCAGCTTCACAGTTCAAACTGTTGACCGATATAATAATTTTTATATTAAATAATGACTATCCATTACCAGAGATCCGGATAAAGAGCTGTAATTAAGTTTATATATGTTGATCTTTAACAAATTCGAACTTGACAACAATTTTAAAATACTAATTACTTTGGCTTTGCCTTTGATTGAAAGATTTGCATTTGTAATAAATTGCAATAGACAATATCTTTGCTTGTGGAAACACCACCTATACAATTTTATTGTTGTATATTACGTTTTAGGGTGATTTTGCACACATGTATTTAGATTTCTGGTAATTACATTAGCCACAACTGACTGAAATACCTATTTCAGTATTTGAAAATGCGCTTTTTACTTATTATTTTATTTGAATCGCATTTCATTAAAGGGGCCCTAAAGTCACTTTTTAGTCGAAAAGCCACCTTAAGTAGGGGACCCCACAGAGATTCGTTTGGCTGAATCTTATATGCAGTATCCATGAGTATGAGTACTTCCGCACGCCGGAAGACACATGCATGCCATGGTGCGCATGTCAAGTAGCGACAATAACAAAAAATATAAACAATGGCTTTTCGACTAAAAAATGACTGTAGAGCCCTTTAAGCCTTGTGTAATAATGTGCTAAAATGTCTATCAATAACTTGCAGTAGTGCAAGTGACAATTTTGAAGTTAGAAATATGTTTTTGAACTGAAAACGCGTTTAAAATTATGCATGTTCATGAACTGATTTTGAACGAGCGAAATCCGGTGAAATTAAATCTAATTTATGGTGGCGTTACCGGGACGATATTTTCGATCTCTGGACACAG